TTTAACTTTTGCAACGAGTAATCATTTTGTTAACTTACGCTAAAATTAATAATATAGAATAGGGCTGCCTCAGAGTAAACTGTTAAATCTCGACGCTAGTTTTAAGGTATATTTAATTGATACAATTGCTGCATACATCTCATTCAAATTTGTTTTATTAATGATGAAATATCTAAAATTTCATTCCTGTTTCTGGTTACATTGTTGATTGCTATAAAGTTGTTGAATCCAATTACATGGAATTAAGTTGAAAAACTCAAGTTGAATTATTTAATGTGGAGAACAAAAATAATTGAGTGATCTAATCCAAAAGTGCAAACAACAAGTAAAATTAGCAAATTTTACATGCAAAATACATAAATTATTCAGACCTTTACTAGACAGGAAAAACAAAAAAAAAAAACTGGTAAAAGAATTGGCTTTTTGGTTATTTCCGAGTGTCAGTAATTATTGCTATATATCTCACGTATAAATGCATGGAAGCAATAAAATTACTTGACGTGCTAATTAGTTTCTTCGCTCTGAACAGTTGTGTTCATAAAGCACAAAGATTTATTCAGCAAAAAGATCCAAAGGTAAGCTGTGTTGTGTTATTTGTGTATTCTTGATGACTGTGTCACTTCAGCTGCAGTACTACATTCAATTTTGAGAACCAAGTTTTAGAAGAAATATATTGGTCTTGGAACAGTTGCATCATGATGTTCCCAACAATTGGAATGTTAAATTATGAGAACAAGCTGCGTTAAAAAATTGCTGGTGTTCCCTCACATTCAGAAAGTTGAGGAGTGCTCCAACTAAGGGCGATCAAATTCCATTTTCATTTTATCAGTAGATACAGAGAAACTATTTCCATTGTTAAGGAATTTCAGACTAAGAAAGAATAATTTAAAAATTTAAGATAGGTAATTTCAGAATGTAAAATGAGACACATTTTCATGCAATCTGTAGTGAAAGTTTGGAATTCTTAACCCACAGTGCTGTGATCATTGGTCAAATGAAATTTGTGACAGAGGTCAGCAGATATTTGTTTTGCAAGGGTGTCACAGGCTCACGAATAAAAACTAATAGATGGAGTTGATATACAGATCAACCAGAATCTATCTGAATAGTGGACAGAAGTTGAATGGCTGACTCCTATGACATATAATTCACACTCCCAGTGTTTCATAATGTAGAGTAATTTCTCTTAATGAGAATAAACAATCTATTGTTAAACAACTGTGACATTTTTCCTGTAAACTAACTGAGTGCAAAATTTACTAAATTGGAGCATTCAGACATTTACTTAGCTAGAAAATTGTGCTATTTGCATTTGTATCAATAGGAGTTTAAAATTTGTTTGCTTGGCTTCTGTGATTAATTTATCTTTAAAAACTGAACCTCCTTAACAACTGAATAAATTAACCACATTAATTTACAGTGCTAACGTAAAGTCGAAACGATGCAAACTCATTGCAGGGACCTGTTCTAACCTCCAAATTATTAATCAGAACAGTTGCCTAAAATTACAGTTTTATTACAGGTTTAGTACTGATGCAATGCAAAAAAAACTGAACAGATCTTATGCATATTATTAGTAATAAAGTGATTGTTTTATAACAGCAGTTAGGTTACAGGCCAACTTGAGTTTAAAACTATTAGGGGAACAGAACTAGATATGAGTTACATAGGCAGTTTTTGATGACCTCAAGCATATGGAGGGTAGGTGAGAGGAGGATTAGTCAGAAATGAATTGGAATTGTTGAGTCTAGACATACTAAAAGAATGGTTGAGGGTTCCATCAATAGATGAGCTGAGCCGAGGGCAAAGGTGAGGAGTGAGATTTAGTATCAAAAAAATCTAAACAACTCTGGGATAAAGAATTGCAAAGATCAATTTCACCTTGCCTCGATACTAAGTGGTCACCCTTTATTCAGAGACTGCGATAAACAGCTCTAGATTCCCCTATCATGGGAAACAGAGAACGTGTGAATGCCAGATTCATCAGCCACACTCACAAGCTAGCGCAAAATATCACCTGATGGGGGAGCACTTCAGTGGTCAAGGACATTCAGCCTCGGATCTTCAGGTAAACTTCCTCCAAAGTAGATTTTGGGATACACAACAACACAGAATCACCTAGCAGAGGCTGACTGCCAAGTTCGATACCCATCAGGATGGCCTCAATCAGGATCTTGGGTTCATGTCGCGCTACATGCGACCGCACCACACTATATGTGCATCCTCCAGCCCTGCTGCATGCACGCACCCCACTCTCTCCCAGTGCTCGTATGCAAACACACCCCCTCTCGCACCTGCACCCCTCCACCCCCCCTGCGCACGCGCGCGCACACACACATGATACTTTGAACTGCTAATATCAAGTCAATTACATGTTTAAGGCTAAACAGGTATTTGGCATTAATTAAAAACTGAAAGAATTGCTGACGCTGTAAATCAAGAACAAAAGCAAAGTTGCTGGAATAGCTCAGCAGGTCTGGCAGCATCTGTTTTTCCTTCACAAAGTTAACGTTTCGGGTCTAGTGACCCTTCCTCACAACTCATTTGGCATTAATTGATTGGTTTCACTTAGGTGGTTAAACTTTCAAATTTTGTAGAAGACTGTGGAAACTCAGTCATTGAATGAGTTCAATACAGAAATCAATTCATTTCCAAATACTAATGAAATCAAGTGATATGGAAGTATCATGGAAAAATGATTTGATGTAGATGACAGGTTGTAATTTAGAAAAGCTGAGCAGGCTGAAGAGCAGAATGATCCTGCTGCTATTTCTTTGAGCACAATAAAAGGACAACTGGGACACTGAACTGTATAGTCAGGAAATCTGCAGCAATGCATATGGGTAAATTGTTGTCAAAGTTATTGCCAAGGAAAAGCTCTGTACCTTAGTTCCTAATCCACCATCAGACTTGGATTCATGTACCACAAACTTGGTCCCCTTATCTAAATTTTGATTACAGACTGCAAGTAACTAAGGTGCCAATACTAATCCTTTGGGAGCCAAGCTAGCCCCAGCCTGCCAACATGAAAGTGTGAGCTGTTTCTTTCTATTCAACAGCTTCTGTTTGATAACCAATTCATAATCCATTATAATCTGCCACCCTCAATAACATGTGCCTAATTCTGAGCAATAACCTATAGTTTTTCACCTTATTGAAGACATTTTGTAAATCCAAATGCATACAGGCGTTGGTTTCCCCTTATCCAATTTACTAATTATTACGTCAAACAAAAAAAGAGAGATTTGTCAAACACAAGTTTCCTTTCAAAAAAATGTGTTGTCTCTACCTCATCATATAAGTGACCATAAGGCCATAAGACACAGGAGCAGAAATTAGGCTATTCGGACCATTGAGTCTGCTCTGCCATTCAATCATGGCTGATAAGTTCCTCAACCCCATTCTCCCACTTTCTCCCTGTAACCCTTGATAATCAAGAGCCTATCTATCTCAGTCTTAAATGTACTCAATGACCTGGCCTCCACAGCCATCTGTGGCAGTGAATTCCATAGATTCACCACTCTCTGGCTGAAGAAGTTTCTCCTTATCTCCATTCTAAAATGGTCTTCCCTTTACTCTAAGGCTGTGCCCTTGGGTCCTGGTCTCTCCTACCAATGGAAACATCTTCCCAACATCCACTCTGTCCAGGCCATTCAATATTCTGTAAGTTTCAATTAGATCCCCCCTCATCCTTCTAAACTCCATCAAGTATAGTCCCAGAGTCCTCAAACGTTCCTCACATGTTAAGCTTTTCATTCCTGGGACCATTCTCGTGAACCTCCTCTGAACCCGCTCCAGGGCCAGTACATCCTTCTTGAGATATGGGGCCCAAAACTGCACACAATACTCCAAATGTGGCCTGACCAAGGCCTTATAAAGCCTCAGTAGTACATCCCTGTTTTTATATTCAAGTCCTCTCAAAATAAATGCCAACATTGCATTTGCTTTCCTGACTACTGACTCAACCTGCAAGTTTACCTTGAGGGAATACTGGACTAGAACTCCCAAGTCTCTCTGGACTTCAGACTTCAGAATTTTCTCCCCAGTTAGAAAATAGTCCATGCTTTTATTCTTCTTACCAAAAGTACATGACCTCTCACTTCTGTTTGACAAAGCATAAGAAAAAGCAAATATATACAGTCCTATTGTATATAATCTTTCAACAGGCAAGAAAATATTTCACACTACGCCACAGCTCAGGGTTGGGAATCCAGCATAAAAACAGAACGTTTTTGTTCAAGGATGGGTGGGGGTTGGGAGAGCATTGCTGGTGAGAATGGAGGGAGCCACAGGTACAAGTCACGACAACTCCCAATAAGGGCACTGAACAAGGGACGAAGACAGACCAAAGCCGTAAATGGACAGCTAGAAACTATGGAAACAAGTAAGTCAACTTGAAGCTTCACAACCACTAGAGAAAAGGGAACTGGATGGGAAGAGGCTCTTGGGCAGATCCATAATCTAAAGTCAGAATGGGCAAGTTCGATAATGAGTCAGATGTTAGAATCCAACTGCTTGAAGGTTGAATGGAGCAAACCAAGGGGAGGAAAAGAAAATGGAAAGTGGAACTGGATGTCATTGGAAGGTACAACAATAAACCGTGGTGTTGAGTAGCCTGAAAACTTTAAATATTTGAGAGACAATCTAATACACATATTTTTAGAGTTGCAAGTTGACAGCATGCAGTTCCTTAAAACTGCTAATATTTCTTAGGTAATTTCTTTATTGAGTCTGTTGAGAAGCAGCATTTACAGGGAATATCAGCCAGGAACTGTTAGGCTCATAGCCCATGATTTTCCACCAAATTATGGAAAATTCCAGTCCTGTGACTTTCTGAATAGGGAATAAAAATCTCTAAAATGTCACTAAAAGCTATGAGAAAGGAAGTGAGGATGATACACACAGGAAGTTATCACAGCTACGAAACCTCCGTTATTGTATGAATTTTCATTATGTTTCAGCAAACAGAGTTAGTTATTATTGGAAAGAAAGTGCCAAACCTGTGAATCACTTCCACCAGAAGCAAAATACTCTCCATGCCTAGAAAATGTTACAGCAATTACAGGGCCCTAAAAAAAATTAGGAGTTTAGTATATTGCATGAAGAGCAAAAGCAGTTTATAATTAAGTTTTCATTTCATTCAGACTTGTCATATTAATGAATATTTCTATAATATCTTTCTAAGAATGAAATATAAACAAAACTGCTTTACAGCTATTAGGGTATAAATAAATGCATAAGTAAGTTCACATTTTCTGTGAGGCTTTCTGCCATCGCACAAGATCCCCTCAGAAGGGAGCAAATTTGTACAAGTTTACAAGATAAGTTAAGTTTATTTACTGATTTGATACTATAGGTTTAATTCTGATTTAAACATCAGAATCTGATGACAGAGCAATTGGAGAACTATAAAGACCATGTGAAAATATTATGTATTTAATATGTCACTGTTCACCTGGTGGCCATGAAGAGTGTAAAGTAATCTTCCCTCCAACAAATCCATTATCTTGAGAGTACAATCACTAGATGCAGTGATAAGATAGTTACCAGAAGGATGGAAAGACAAGCAGTTCACCGAAGCACTGTGGACTGTTTAGAAGACAGGATGGTCAGATAGACCTAATGAGTCACACAAAATCAACTATTCATGAGCTTCCTGAAACACCAGTCACAATTAGAATTCCTAGTCCCTTACTTGCTGCATTGTGACGAGTCTGTTTTTCAGGTGGCCACATTAAGTACACCAGTACGATCAGGTTGCTTACTGGATACACAATTACCGTATATATAAACAAAAAAATTCACGCAACGTGGCCGTCATTGTCAAGGCCAGTATGTGCTCATCCCCAATTGCTTTTGAACTCCGTGACTTACTAGGCCTTTTCACAGAGCAGTTAACAGCCAACGATATTGCTGAGATTATAAAGAAACATGTAGGCTAGACCAGGTAAGGATGGCAGACTTCCTTCCCTAAAAAGGACATTAGTGAACCAGTTGGGTTTTATGGGAATCGATGATAATTGTCATGGTGATCAGTTCTGAAATGGGCATTATATTCCAGATTTATGATTTAAATTTAGACTTCATTAACTGTTGTGGCAGGATTTAAATCCATATTCCTAAAGTATTCAGCTGGGCCTCTGGGTTACTCGTCAAATGACAGTGCTTAAATTCCACTACCCACCCGTACACAATAAGGCTCTTTCCTCACCATGCTGTAAATAGCAATGTGTTAAAATTAAATGATCGTTAGAGATTTAATCATGTAATCCCAGTAATTAAAATTCCATGCAAATGTAGTAAGACTGATCTTTAAACGAAAGCCAATGATTTTTTAATTACTTGCTAATACAAGACCAAACAATAGAAGAGGACTCGTTTTTTTTTTGCTTGGATCATTACTTATTATTTATGTAATTATCTTTTAAAAGCAGGTTTTTATTCTTTTGGAATCCAGAGGAATTTCCTCCCACTTATAATTTCAATATACAAAATTGAGTTTGGGCCATTGCTCAATACTTAACAACCAGCAAAATTTTTTGCATGTATTATTGACACAATGCTGTTTTTTAAATAAAGCACACAATTATGCAGTATACTTTTACTAGCTGCACAACATTTTGAGACCTAACCCAATAATTTTTTTTTTTTTTTAAAAACATACCTTGCTGTCATTTTGCTGAAGTGTGAATTATAGTGGCTCACAGTTCCCTCTCACACTCCCTCATTCCTTCCATCAGTCTTTCTCATTCCCTGCCTCACTATTCAGGCATACTTCCTTCTCCAATCATCTTTTATACAACTCCCTCATTTTCTACTCTGAACACACACCCACATATAATGCAGCTGTTGAGAGATCTGGAGCTCTTGGCCCTTAAATCCAATGGTTTTAAGGGAGTGGCGGTCGACAGTGGATTTATTGGCTATAATCTTGCAAATTTCCTTGGATTCTGGAATGGTCCCAGCAGTCTCAAAGGACGCAAAGTAACACCACTGTTCAAGAAAGGAGACAGATAGAAAGTAGGAAACCTTGGCCTAGTTTGTCTAAAACTTATCATCGGGAAAACGCCAGAATCTATTATTAAGGAAGTAGAAGCAGGTCACTTAGAAAATCATAATAGAATTGGGCAGATTCAACAGAGTTTTGTGAATTGGAAATAAAGTCTGACAAAAGTATTAGAGTTATTAAAGTAACAAATAGAGTGGATAAAGGGAAACTATAGGTATATTGTATTTGAATTTACAAAACATATTTAATAAAGTGCCACATTAAAGATTACTGCACTAAGAATGTTAGGAATTGTGTGTAAAGTCAATATAGTCCCAGAGGACTATAGGGCTTCTCTCTCATTAGAGACTCACAACTGTGTGGTGGTTTAACTATTATCATGGATGGAGGGCTGGTTGACAAACAAGAGACAAAGAATCTGAATAAACAGGATCTTTTCAGATTGAGAAACTGTAACTGGTAGAGTGCTACAAGGTTCATGACTGGATCTTAACTATTTATATTTTATAATAATGATTTGGTTGATTGACTGTATTCTAACCAAATTTTATGATAAAAAGATACGTAGGAAAGTAAGTTGTGAGAAAGACATCGAGTGGTTAAAGTGATAAACAAAAGTGATGTGAGTGGGCAAAAATTTGGGAGATGGAGTAAACCATGGCAAAATGTGAGGCTGTCCACTTTGTCAGGAAAAATTAAAAAAGAAAAGAACAGAATATTATTTAACTAGTGAGAAAGCTTACAAATTCTGCATAACAGGCGGAGCAGTGGCTAAATGGCAGTACCAGTACCATTGGACGAGTACTATGACTCATTGGGGGAGCATGTTGGAAATGAGACCCTAGTATTCCCAGAATTGTCAGGAAAGCTAAAGATTTTATGAAGTATGCAAAGTTCCCAATTTACCTGATTTTCAGACCTAGCTGAACAGAAATTAGACTCCAGTTACATATAAACTGTTGGCATATAGTTTTAATAGAAACTCTAATCTTTATGATAAACATCCTCTTACATTCACACAAACAGACAGGATGAAACAAACAGATATGGACAGTGGGGAAAAGGTGGTAAGACAGTTCAGCAGTCTTTGCTCATGATTTTCTGGTTAAGATGATAATTATGACTCTTCTGCTGGTGAGCTCTTTGGTTCAGTTGTTTTTCTCTGTTTGCTTCTACTGGTCGGTAGAAGAAACAAGATGGCTGGTAGATATTTTTAAAATCAACCTGCTCAGACATGTTAATGACACCTCTGGAACAGGTGGACTTAAACCTGGGCCTTCTGGCTCAGAAGGTAGTGACACTACTACTGTGCCACAAAACCCCTGACAAGGCAGTCTGTATACCTATAAGTCAGAAACTTTTTATCATTTAAAAGTTACAGCAACTGTTGCAGGAGAGACAAACAGGCTTTCTTCATGTGTACAGTGCCTTTTGACTGCAGAGAACAGAGAGACTGGGCCAGAGCTGGGGAAGGAATGAATATTTCTCTCTCTCTTTGTAACTTGGTCCCAAATCCAAGTTGTTCAGTTACCCGAGAACCAGTCACACAGTTGTTGGCAAGCAAAGAGGTTTGTTGTGGATAACTGGTCACTAGTCTGTGTCCAAACATCCTTTCAGCTCCAAATTGTCTGCAACTCGACTTTCAATTACTATTTGTTCAAACAGTTGTTTACACAATACCTGGTGCTGGTGACGGGTTACTTGCTTCCAAAACTGTAAACAACATTTTAAATAGCTTTTTCTCATTTCAGTCCATAGTTTTTAAAACACAAAATAAAAAGACATGGTCCTTATACTACTAATCCAGAGATTCAGACTCTTGGAACAAAGACTGAAATTCTATCATGGAATTTAAATTCAATTAATAAATTTGGAATATAAAGTTAGTCTCAGTAACGGTACCAACAATTGCCATAACAGCCCATCTGGTTCACTAATGTCCTGTAAGGAAGGATACCTGCCATCCTTGCATGCGACTCCAGATCGACAGCAATGGGATTATTACTTACTGCCCTCTGAAATGGCCTAGTACGCCACTCAATTCAAGGGCAATTAGAAACTGACACCCACAACACATGAGACAATTTTTTAAAAAATCTATTTAGAACCTGGATCTCGCTTTACAAAAATCACTAAAAAAATTAACATGCAGGTACAGCAATATTTAGAAATGCAAATGAAATGCTGGCCTTTAGTGCAAAGGGATGTAGTATAAAAGTAGCAAAGTTTCGCTATATCTGTACTGGATATTGTTGAGGTTGCACTTAAAGACAGTATAAAGTTCGGTTACAAG